TAAAGTGTAGGTCTTATATAACTCATTTAATTTTTTTTTTTTTTTTTTTTGCTATCTTGTCACCAGCACAAAATTATCCTCCAACTAAGGTGTTAGTAAATGAACAAGCACATCTTTGCATACTTTTAAGGACTCATGTATTTCCCCCTTAGAGTTCAGATGTGTGTACTCACTGATAATACTATCTGTTGTTCAAGAACTTAAGACAGAAGACTTAGTAGGATTATCCAGTGACAGTCAGCAGGGTGCGAGTAAGCTTGTCTTTCTGGCTCTTGGCCTGGTGTGTGTTTGCCTGTGGTTGTGCAGTTATAGAATGGGGCAGGTGGTGCATGTACTTGCCTTTGATTTCTCAGAAGTTGGTGAGCTTTCCTAATTGGGAAGTTTCAGAGCTAGAAAGGATCTTGGTGGAGAAGGGGCAGGGAATGTAGAGTTAATTCTTTGCTGTTCTATGCTACAGACTTTACATGTAGCTGTAACTGGTTTTACAAGGGATTAAGAAGGCGTTGAGCCTAGAAGACGGGTGGGGTTTAACACCTCAGCATTGGATCCCTTGCTGGAACCCTGACTAAGAATGAGTGGGCTTGTGGTTGGTACAGTGACAGAAAAACCATTGTTTGGTAACTCCTGCTTCCTTCACTTGCTGACACATTGGAAAGTAAATGAGAGACACAGCTGACCAACTTCTTTGGGGTCTTCTGTGAAAGAACACAGCTCTACCTGACTGCATTATTGGTGGAATTATAGCATTTTGGTTACAAATGAGTTATTCGAGTACTAAATACAAAGTACACATACTTAGTCTTTATTTTAGAGACTTTATTTTATTTATAAAGCCAAAGCCTAATTCTTGGGTTACACTGGGATTTTTTTTTAACTTTGGTAGAATGATAGATGTTAATGCCAATCTGTTGTGACATGTACTGTGTAGAATGTACACTAAAAGATTGCTTAATAAGTCATCAGTTCATTGGCAGACTGCTCTTTATTGATGACATACTTGATTTAAAAAGTCAAAGCAAAATATCTAGGTATTATAACATTTAAAGGAGTGAATATAAGCCAAAAATTTAAAAAAGGAAACTGTTGTTTTATTAAAATTGTTACTATTTTTTAATGAAACTGTTGCTTTGCTTATCCTGCCCCTCCCTGACCACCCCCACAGAGCTAGTGTAATCTAGGCAGATACTCTACCACTTGAGCCACAAACCTTCCTTCCATTTGTATTTTGTTTTGTCACCCCCCCCCGCCCCCCATATTTTGTTTTTGAGATAGGGTCTCACTGAATTTGCCCAGGCTGCCCTCAAACTACCTCCTGCCTCCACTTCCTGAGTAGCTGGGATTACCAGGCATGTACCACTACATGGGGCCTACTTTATTTAACCTTTAAAATTATTATTATTTTTTTTTTGGGGGTGGTACTGGGCTTGAACTTAGGGCTCCACGCTTGCTAGGCAGGTGCTGTACCACTTGAGCCACTGCACCAGCCCTTTAAATAAATTTTTAAAATATTCTTTTAAGAGTTGAAATATTAGCTGGCATGGTGGCCCACGCCTATAATCCTTGGTACTGGGGAGGCTGAGATGATTGTGGTTCAAGGCCAGCCTGGACAAAAGGTTCATGAGACCCCATCTGAACCCATAAATAAGCTGGGTGTGGTGGTGCATCATCAGCCCAGATGCGTGGGAAGCATAGAGAGGAGGGTCAGGACGCACGCTGCCTCTGAATAAGATCTGGGTACATGGCTTGAGTGCAAGCTTGAGCTTACATAAATATTAAGATAATTATGGGGAAGAGTATTTTCAGATTCCAGTGCTCCTTCCCATTCCACATCAGAAGAGGAATTACTTGGGATAAAAATGGTACTTTTGAGGTTTCATATATATATAGACAAAAATATTTGGGAATACAAAAGTGGAAAATTGAATTACTTAGTTCTTTACATTATTTTGAGTATATTGATTTGGTTCAGAAAATACTCTTCCTATGCGACATGATCCTAAGTAGTGTTTTAAAATGAAAAGTAATCTACATATTATGTACATAATAACATTCCTGGTCATGCCAAAACTACACAACCAACAGTGAACGTCTCTCTCACGTAAGACCCACATAGTCTTCTATTCAACGTGGTACAATCTGGTAATAAAAACATGTATTTCTTGTCAGAATAGCATTGTTGTTAAAAGTTGGTCATATTCATTATTCTACTGTTCTTTTTATGTTTACATTTTCATTTCATTGTGTTTGGGGATAATTGAGTGTTCTTTGGTAGAGTTGGATATTATTTGTAGTTACATGGTTGTGAGTTGTGAAAATTGTACTATGCATTTTTATTTGAAAAGTGGCGCTGTTAGTGGTACTGCCTTATTGACTGGCGGAAAGATGATGGTGAAGTCTACAGTATTGCTGATTAATCCTTACTGAAGTGAGTGCAGCCTCTGCATGGTACATTATAGGTATACTGCCTTCATAGAGGTCAAACGTCATGTCAGAGATCAAAGCCCTTTCCAGATTTGCAGCTGGAAAACAACTTACATAAATATTAAGATAATTATGGGGAAGAGTATTTTCTGATAGGTATCAGATGTTAACTCACACAGCTCCTTATGTTGTAGGCCACATGTAAGAAATCAGATCTTCACATTCCATTCATCAGCTTTCTAAGGAAATTTGATCATGCAGATTGGGCACCAAGCACAGAGTGTGTAAGACAGACTATGATCAGGAGAGACCAAAGCCAGGGTTTAAACAAAAAGACTGGAGGGGGTCCTAAATCTGATGTTTAGGTTGTCATGCTTGAACTATCCTGAGCTCTTGGAGAGTTTAGCTTGATTCTGTAGTTACATACCTGCTTTCTTGCCTTGAGGCAGCATGCATCTGCTGGCTGCTAAACCAGCAGAAGGTCTGCTTTGAGACCGACCATCTTACTATGGTGATCGGAACCCATTTATCTGTCTCCTGTCCCACCCAACTTAAAAATAAGTCATGATACCTTTTATAAATATGTAAAGTATTATTTTTCTGCTTAAAGTCATTTAGTAATTATATATATGTATGTGTGTGTGTGCACGCATGTGCAGTGCATGGTCTCACCATGTAGCCCAGGCTGGCCTTGAACTCCTGATTGTTCTTCAGCCTCCTGAGTGATGAGAGTACAGGCTTGAACCAACATGCCCAGCTCAATTTAGTACTATTTTAATGTCAGATTGCAAGTTTGTAGGAAATGGGACTAGATTGTCATAATTTGCTTTTTTGTTCAACACAGTACTCAGTGTAGCTATTAGTAAATGTGCTTTGTTACCATAGTTTAAATAACAGAAAATTACCTTTTAGATAAATGACACATTGAGAATTAAGGGGAAATAAAACTAGAAAAGAATGCATGGGATGGTTTTTTTATTTTTATGGAGTACAAAGAATTGATTGCCTTTCTCAGATGCTTTATTTGATTCACTAAAGTTCCCTTCAAAGGTATACAAAAGTAGAGAATCGCCATTTTCCACAGTTAGAAGTTTGGTCTTGTTTCCTCTGTACTCTGCCAGCCCCAGACTATTTTTAAAGAAACTCTAGATGTTGGATAAACTTCATGCATAAGTATTTAAGTTTGTTTCTATAAAAGATAATCATTTTTCAGTATAGAAAAAGATCTGGTATTTAGTCACTATTTTGTATTGAGTGACTCGTCACCTGGTAAGAAAGTAAACTTGCTTACTGATAACTGGTTTTTTTTTTCCTCTTTTGTAAATTCAGGTTTACCTTGCTTGTGGTTTCTGAATCTTTCCGTGCACCTCCACAAGGGGGCAGTTAAAGAAAGAGAGAAGTGAAGTTGAAATGAACCTGATTAGGGTTTCACTTTTGTTAATCAAATTAACCAAGTTTCAGGATGTGTTGGGGCTAACTTTATAAATAAGCAGTGACTTCCCTCTCACTGTCCCTCCTCACTCTCCAGAAACAAAATATTAGCCTTCTTAAAAGCAATCATCTTTTTTAAAAAATGCCTTCCAAAGCGTTGTTAGACTTGAATTTTCTCCATGAACAATAATTTCTCTCTAACAATAATTGATTTTGCTTTAAAGAAAGTGTAGCACTTGAATTTCTACCTAATTTTTATAAACTCGTCTTAGATAACTGTGTTGCATTTTCTCATTGAGTGATAGAAATGTGGCCTAATTGGGGTATTTGAGCTGGTGTTTGATTAGCAATGAAAGGGCAGAACTGCTATCTGTCCCCAGGCGTCTTCTCATTTTTTAAAAGCCTCAGTTACTATGGTGTCCTTGAGTGAATTACATTCATAATCACATATAAATATATGGTGGTTACTTTATTATTTACAACAAAACAGTTTTCCATTTAAAGTATGCTTGATATTGAGCACTGAACACCCTACCCTGTACATGGTTGTCTTTGGGAATCTTAAATGAACATCCTTAAAGTTTTACGTCAGCTGGTTAGTTCTTTGAACTTAATATTGGATACTGTGATCTGAGGGAGTTTTTTTTTTTTTTTTTCCCAGCATAGTGCATAGTTACTATTTATGGTTTTCTGTTATTTTTTGTTTCGTTTTGCTTTGTTTTTTGTTTTTCTAGTGAATATATTTCTTCTGGAAAATTGCTATTTTTCCATGTAGGCTATATGAGACTCTCATGATGGGATAAACTTACAGGAATTGATTCTTCTTTATTTTTCAATGTCTGTTTTACAAGGTTTGTGTTTCCTTCTGTTACCATTATTAAGATCTCTGATGATCAAAGTTTCTGTGTCCCTACAGCATGACATATAGATACTATGAAACTGTTATCTTACATTCCTGTAGCATTCCTTTTTTTCAGCACTTAATGCCTTTTATTCCTTAGCTTTATGAATGAATTATGTAGCATATGTGAAGAGGCTTAAACTGTTTCCATTACATTCTTTCTGAATGGCTCCTGTTATATTTAGGGTATACTTATATGTTAGACAAAGTAAGAATGTTATTGTTGTTGACCTTGACACCAGATAACTGGGCAGACATTATATAGCTATGTTTGAATCCTCACAAAATGTGCTGCTGAAGCCAACAGAGACCTGGCGGGAGACTCTTCTGGACAGCAGAGTTATGGAACTTTTCTTCACAGTAAGTCTTAGTTTTCATTTCTGCCATCAAAGCCATGGGAAAGAGGAAATGCCTTTGTGTTTTTCTCCTCTACAGCCTTCTCTTCTGCTCAGTTTATCTGCTTAAGCAGATACTATATTTAAGCAGAAACCATTTAACAAGCTTCTTGGTAATTTAGGAAAATGTCATGTATTTCCAGAGGGTTTAGTATCCTGGAGTAGAACTTCTCAGACTTTATCTCAGGACCCCTTTATACTTCAAGAGCTTTTGTTTATGTGGTTTATAAGCTATTATTACTTATCCTATTAAAAAAAATTCAAACAGAACTTTAAAAAATAATTTATTAAATAGCAGTAAGAGACCTTTACATAGTAACATAAATAACATTTTAATGAACAGATAACTATATTTTTGAAAAGAAGTTTAGTGAGAATAGTTGCATTATTTTACTTTTTGTTTTGTTGTTTGTTGTACATTTTTGCAAATATCTCTAGTGTCAAGCTTAATAGAAGGCAACCAGATTCTCCTGTGTCCTTTGCATTCAGTTGGTATCCCATACCATGTAGCCTCAGGAAAATGCAGTGTGTGTTTACATGTGTGACAGAAAAGAAAAGGCTGGTATCATCCTAGTATTATTATGAAAATAGTTTGCCCTCCAAGATGACCTGCATTGTCTAAGAATGGGTAGGGATCCCTGGATCCCACTTTGAGAACTGCTCTTCTAACGTAGTGTATTTTTTAGAACACCTGGGCTAAGTTTTATTTAATAGTAATTTGCCTCATGAATTTCAAGTAAAACTTTGAACAGGGCTCTTATTATCAGCTAAATAAAGAAGTAAACATTATATCCCCACATTTGCCAGTGGGTATTATCATTTGAAAAAGCATGTCTGTTGGCGGGGGGAGCAGTGATTTGCAGTTACAGGGTGAGTGCAAAACTTAAGATACAGAAATTTGGGCAAAATCAAGGTCATAAAGTCCAAATAAAGACCCAAGTAAAAAGAAAAGAAGAAAGCTGTTTTGCTTAATCCCAACCATTAATTATAGTTTTTTAGCATTCATGTGTTTTGAAAATTTTGTGCACGAACTTCCAACTACCTTCTTTTTTTTATTCAACCATTTAAAATATTATAGTTCTTTAGTATATATTTAAGAATATCTAGAACAAGATTATCCATCCATGGGTATACATAAAAGATGTTTTTTATAGAAATGCTTGGTTCTCATCATTACTTAATAATGCTGTATTTTCTATTTAAACTAGAGGAATGATGAGTAAAAACACTATCAAGATCAAAGAGATGATTATAACTGAATTTTACAAAACAAAAACAAAACAAAAAAACCCTGCCCTGTTGCCTGCTTCATCTGACAAGAATTGTTTTGATAGGACTCCATGTTCAATTCTTTGGATTGTTCACTTTAGTGAAAATAAATCCCACTCCAGAAGTTTTTGAAAAGGTGAAAAACTTGCTGGCAGGACTGGAAACAGCTCCACCAAATCAGAACAGCTGTCTAGACAAGCCAGACAGCTGCTCCTGTCAGCTGTGAGCTGCCACATGCAAATAACTTTTGAATTTGAAAGTTAGCCCTTTTCTGCTTTGTTTTTTTAGCAGTTTCATGTGTTGTGTGTAGCTAGTTATTTCATTTAAGCAGTTTATGAACAATTTAAATTTTGAGTTACAAAACCTACAATGGCTAATCTTTTTCTACTTCATTTATTTTTGTTAAGTTTAGTTTTATTCATGTGAATTCACTACCTAATTTGATCCCTTTTCCCATTGGATAACAGTTTTCCACTGCATATTGCTGTCGTGCTAGGTATAATAAACTGTTGTGAGGGAATAAGGCTTAAATTTGTTGATTATCTCTGAGACTGAAAATAATTTTGGTTGTGTTTGCCCTTCAGAAGTTTGCGGACGGGCTGATTTTTCTTTCATCCATAAGGCCTTGAAAGCACCACTGTTGTTAGGTTTTTTTTCCCACTTTCTTGACAAGATTGTTTCTAGTTTCCTTTTCCTGCTCACTGCATAAATGTCACCATTCTTGCCTTGGTTCTCAGATTTGGTGACTACACTTTTCCACAACTAGTTCTTCTACATGCAGCACTGTAGGCAGCACTTCACAGATAACTCTAGATTTCAGAACCTCAAACCAAGTACTCACTGAATGCTTCCATTTGGATGGCCAGAAGACATGTGACATTTGACGTATTCCGATAGAATTTGTCATCTTGCTGACTTGCTTCTTCTTTATGCTGTGTCTTGATGAATAGCCTCACTATTTCCTGCCCTGGATGTCCTGCTATATTTGCTCTCTCTGCCCTGTCTGCTTCCCGTATTCAGATGGAGAATCCAGTTTTTAATTGTATTATACAATTTGTATTGAAATCCATGTTCATACATGAGGGAACTCTTTTATAATGCTGACGTTGGAAGAAGGGCAAGAATCTGTATCATAATAATCACTTATCGTGAGTTTTATGTAGTACATATTTCAGATAACATAAACTAAGCTTTCACAACATAGGCAGACTCCAGAGACAGTTTATTTTGTTATCAACGTTACCTATTTCAGTAAGGGTATTTTTTTCTTTTGGTTCCTCACTTCTACATCAGGAATGAGTATCATCTGACTTCTTGGGTAGAGAAGATTGTGAGATGAGTTTCTGTTGTCCCAGACTGCATTGTGTTTGTTGATAGAATATATCCCTGGACATCATACTTAAATTAAATGTTAATTAGTTTACAAGGCCTGATGGCACAAATTTGAACTATGTTTTTTTCTTTTTTTGCTGGGGGGGGGGGAAGAGCTTATAATAGTGTGTTGTGTTTAAGAACTCAGAAAGAAAGCAATGGACATATATGAATATGTGGATTATACTTTGAAATTACTATATAAAACTTAAAATACATTGGGATATAGTTTGAAAAGCATTTACATTCTAGGTCAGGAATTGGTAGACTCTTTCTATATGAGGCTAAACAGTCACTATTCTAGCTCTGTATGTTACATGATTGCACTCAACCTGCCATTGTCGTGCAGAAGCAGCCCTAGGTACAACCAGCAAATGAGTCTGAAACTCCAGTTCACTTTACTGAGCTCATTAAATGTTCACTTTATATAATTCTCACAGATCACAAAATATACGCTTTTGGTGTTTGTTTTTCTCTCAGCCATGTGGACATGGAAAACCATTTTTTTCTCAACAGCTGTATGAAGACATTCAGGGACCAAACTTAGCTCATGGGCTGTGGTTTACAAACCCTTGTTCTAGACCAGAGTGTAGCATAGTTTAAGCAAATTAGTAGATCAATTAACTGTAATTTTATTTTTTGCCTTTAAAAATTTTTTATTTCTGAATTAGCATACATTAATGAGGGACTTTCATTGTGATAATTCCATGCATGTGTACAGCACACTTTGGTGAAGTTCACCCTGCTATTACATTTCCATCATCCCCCTTTCTCCCTTTTCTTTTTTTTCACTTTTTAATTAGTTTATGATAATTGTACAGAGGGTTTTGGTGTGACATTTCCATATACAGGCACAATGTAACTCCAGACAGGTTTCGATGTTCCATCTTCATACACATATAGAAAGTATATAGACCATATTCACCCTCCTTTGTTTACCGTCCCAATTAATTAATTTTTAGAGATGTTGCCATTTTAAATTTCTTGACTAGATCTTAAGACATTCAAACCTGAAAAATTAATGGAATCAGTCAGTGAACAAGAATTTATTGTGTTTGCTGTGGTACACACTGTGTCAGTGAATATTTAAAAGAAGTATTTTAACCTGAAGTAATTTATAAATGATTTGCAAGTCAAAGTGAACAAAACTTGAAAGAAATAGAGAATAAATGTTCAGCATTGTGCTTTGTGTAGAAAAGGGAAGGGCTTGAGCAGTTAAGTGCCTAGGAGAACAGAGTGCATTAAGATTAATAATATCCCTATAATTCCTTCATTGAATTTACCTTGGCTATTTTAATTATGTCAGATCTCTCTTTATACAGAATATTATATGCCAGGTGTTTCACATTAGCTTGAGCCTTTAAATAAATTTGTGTACAATTGAAATTTTTTTAAATTTTTTTTTGCTGTTCATAGTAATGTTGTAGGATAAAATAATGATTCAAGCAGATTATGTATGCTTACATGTCGGTCGAGTCAGTGAATGAATGTCTAGGGTTTGAGGGGTGTATTGGTTTTCTGTTTATTTCACTAAGGCAGCATCTCTATACTCTTGATTGAACTTGTCTGCTAACTTTAGCAAGAAGCTGTAGTGAGGCATAGTTAGCATAATACAGATGACTGTCGTTGCTGCTGTTTTTAGAAGAAGCAGTATGTCTGACTGGCTGGCATCTGCTTCTCTCTTTGTCATAACATGCTGGAGACAGTTCAACTTTCAAAATGTAGGTAGCCTTTGGTTAAAAAAAATAACTAATATGTTTAAAATCATGGCCTACAATGTCAAGTTGGCTAAGAGGTAATTTTCAAATGTAGTTTAATTCAGGAATTAATTTTCTATAAATGACCAGCTACAGTAAATTTTTCTCTTACCTCATTCGGCATGGTAGACACGTGACCCTTACAAAAGAAGAATTTACTTTTATGGATTAGTAATTCTTTCTAACAGGTACATCGAAAAATCAGAGAAGATTCAGATATGGCACAAGATTCTCTGCAGTGCCTTGCCCAGTTAGCTTCTCTTCATGGACCCATCTTCCCCGATGAAGGATCCCAAGTTGACTATCTAGCACACTTCATTGAGGGATTACTGAATACCATAAATGGGTAGGTATACTTGCCCTTAGAAATGAAAAAGGAACTTTTTGGTTTTTTCTTGTGTTTAACAGTGGAGGAAAAAAGAAACCAGAGATTTTCTTTCCCATTTTGTGTTTTGAAGTAGAGCTGTATGGAACTAACACAAAGATACATACCTTTAAAAATAAATAGGTGGTATTTGTATGTATGGAAATGTGCTGTGATTTTCTTCTACCACTTAATCTGTCTCATTCCTTGGTTTGTAGAATTGAAATAGAAGATTCTGAAGCTGTGGGACTCTCCAGCATTATCAGCAATCTGATAACTGTGTTCCCTCGAAATGTTTTAACTGCCATTCCCAGTGAACTTTTCTCCTCCTTTGTTAACTGCCTCACACACCTCACTTGTTCTTTTGGGCGAAGTGCTGCATTGGAAGAAGTGGTGAGTGACTACCTGAAATAAATATGTCTGTTTTTCGTAAGAAAATTTGTACTTCCTTTGAAGCATTTTCTCATTCCATGTAATTATTTTAAGTAAGTGAATGCTAGTAACTATTAAAGTGATTTTTATTTGCATGTAAAAAGTAGTGGCAGTATAACCTTTAAAAATTTGTGGTTTCAAATCAGTTTAGCAGATAAAATTTATTGGTCTTAATTCTAAGATAATTAAAATGAAATGCTTCTCAAAAATTATGTCGAAAGCCCATTTTAACAATGTATACTTTATATATATATATATATATATATATATGTTTTAAGACTTAATTTTGAACTTACTTAGAAATTATGTAAATATAATTCCATTCAAATCATTGTAACCATACTTATTTTGATTAGGTAGTACTCTTTAATTTTTTTTGGCAGTAGGTGTAATAGTGTATTTTGGTGGAATCTAATTTATGTTAAAATTAAGACTAATAATAATACTGATAATAGTACTAATTTTCAGATGTATTTTCCAAACTTCATATTTAAATTTAGAGAACACACACTAAAACCCCTTGACAACTTAGCTGCTTTTGTAAGTTACTGTAAATAACTACATGTATCATGAAAAGATAATTGATTTTTTTCTACAAAGTAGGTATTAAATTGTTGAAAGTAGTTTTTCATCATGAATTAAAATGTGGATACTTTTAAAAGTCTGATAGAGTAAAAACAGTATTTGTAGATATCTGTTAGAATTTCACATTAACTTCTGAGTTGCTTTGGTGAAGGTCCAGTAGTGTGTCAGTTTTCCATTTGTCTTCAGAAGTTTTCAGAGAATAAATACTCAGGAATGATTGTGTGTATGTAATTGGGCACTTTTGTGACTAAATAGTAAGAAAGGAACCAGGACAGGCAGGGATTATGTGATAAGAAAATGGAAGTGGCAGAGGAATGCAAGTTTAGAAGAGGAATGCAAGTTTAAAAGATCTTATGTGGTATTTGAATTTTGATGTTACAAACATGCAAGTGCATGGAAAGTTAGGTATTTCAAGTGATTACACATTCTGAATCTGACAGGCTTTAATGTGGCTTCATTGTCCCTTCCCTTTCCCCCTTGGTTTGTTTATTTTCTCTGTTAAGCCAGGTGGATTAAAGATTTAACATGTTGTCACATATTTAGAAACACAGCTACCTTTTAGTTTCTGTTTGTGGATTAAGAATGTTCCTAACATTTTAAAGAGGGTTTGCTGGAAGATATGTGACATTCTTGCTTTGCAGATTTTATGTTCAGAATTTTGTTTATTTTGACCAGCAGGCTGACAGCCTGACAGTTTTTCTGTCCAGGTTTGACATTGAGTATTGTAATGTAGAAAGCTAGCTACTCTTCTACAGAAGCAGATATATCTTGTTTCACAAGAAGGCATGCTCTAGTTACATACCTAATTGGTTTCGTTTAACAAATGTTATTTATTTTAATATTTTGATTAATTTCTTTTACTTGATCTGTTTACAGTTAACAATTCTTTTAAAAACAGTCGGTCACCTGATAAGCGCAGAGGGAAACATTTTACTTTAAGCCGCATTCAGCAGATTTAGTGAGGTTGAAAGCGGAGAGAGGGCCTCTGCACAGTGATTCGCATGAAGACTAAACAAATCTCCCTCAATGTCATTTCAACCCTGTTATTTTATTGTCCTGTGCATACTGGGGAGTTTGTACCAGAAACTCATGAAACAAATTGAGCTAGGCTGGACTTTCTGGGACAGACCACATAGTCTTTTGTTTCCTTGGTTGATTATAGTTCTCCTTCATGATGATACATAGTTGTTCTGAGATTGAAAAGAATGATCTTTTAAGGAAATTTGAAGAGCTAAGCATATTTAAAAAAAAACAAGACAGTTTGAGCTAGGTCATGAAACTGGAGCGTGCCAGTACCATGATCATGGAGCGCAGCCCTTCAGGCAAGCACTCATCTTTCATGAGTCAGTCAGGCTGATAACCCCTTCTCGTATTTTATGGCATGGTGAGCTATGTGAACGTGCCTGTATAGTCTGCACAGAGCAGTGTAGAAAGAGCCTTTGTAGGGCATTGATTGATAGGCTATATTGTATGTGCTGTCTTTACCATCTAAGACTAGTTGTTGAGTTTTGTTGTTTTGTGCAAACCAATAGCTTTTTGTAATTTTACTTTTTAAATATTTTTGTCATTTTAATTTTGGACAGTGTTTCTGTTTTTCTTTAATATTAAATGAGGTTTTTTTCCCCCAGTAGAAAAACAGATTCCCTATATATACACTTTTATTGTGATATTAATTTTTTCACAACTATATTTGTTTAGGAATACATAATAGATTCACTCTCTTGTAAGCAATTCATGTAATTGATGGTAATTATATTGCTATAGCAGGGGAGGAAGAGCATTTTTCTAGAGAGTAAAATTTAGGATACTAGTGTCTTTTTATAATAATATTCTTGCTTAGTGAGTTTATTACCCTTTGTTTGAAGAAAATATGTTTATGACTACACCTTGATGAGCAACAAGCTAGAAGTCTAGAGAGCAATTCCAGTTTTCAGCTCCAAGTTGTTTTGGAGCTGTTATGGTTTCTTGTTATTTCTTGAGCTTCCTGAAGCCAAGAATTTTTTCATTATACCTCTGAAGTCAAATTATTTATTTCCTGTTGCTGGACTGAAGAAGTGAGAATAATTGTGAGATGGAACAATACTGTCTTAAAGATTAAAGTCCAATATTTATTGTTCATATTAATATACCAACTATATTATAAAATGTTCAAAATGCTAGCACATACACTTGGATTAGTTCAGTAAAATTTGGGGAAAATCTGACTTGAACTTTGTACTCTAGTTTGTTTCTTGGTTTTTTTGGTCAGAAAACGTTGGTTCATGCCAAAATAGTATCATCAAAGAGGCCAGGCAACATGTTGAGTCACATGAACAAAATAGCTGTCGTGACAATGACTGACCTGTTTTGTATGTGTATTTTGGTGTCATCCCATCTATATGGGAGGCTGAGAATAGCCGGTCTAGGCAAAAAAGTTAACAAGACCCCCATCTTAAGAGAAAAGGGCTGGACATGATTGTGTAAGCCTGTCATCCCAGCTACCACATGAAATATCTCATAGTAGGATCATGGTCCAGGCTGGCCCAAGGAAAACAAAGCAAGACACTGTCTCAAAAATAACCAAAGAAGGAAAAAGATCTGGAGCCATGGTTCAGCTGGTAGAGCGCCTGTCTACCAAGTGTGAAACCCTGAGTTCAAACTCCAGTACTGCTAGCAAAAAAAAAGTCTAAATAGAGTCGAGCCTGATGATGCATACCAATAATTTCTTGTGATTTCAAAAACCAGCCTGGCTAAGTAAGGAGACCCTGTAAGATGGAGAGGGAGAGATCTATATTGATAGAGCCTTTCCTCTCCTCTTCTATTTACATGGGTTCCTCCCCCCCGCCATCTCTATTGTGAGCAAGTTTTTGTTGCATAACTTTTTGTTGCATAATTTATACCTGCCAAAATGATCTCATCATGTCTGCAGATGGGCTCTGCTAGTGAACTTCCCAGCCTCTGTGATCAGTGGTAGTTGAATTTGTTTCGATTCTCAAGTTCTTACAAAGAATAATAGCAAAGAAGCAGCCTGAAGCTGGACTGTGGAACCTAGAGTTCAGTAAGGTTAAGGAACTCCTTAGAAGTTATCACTCAGAAATAAGATTTTCTGAGAAAATTGTCCATACTCGGCTCGTTGTACTGTTCATGTATGAATCATACTTTTTGTTTGTTTGTTTCTTTCTCTGGAACTATTTATTTTTGAGTCATACTTTTCTTAACTAACTCATGTTATATTTGCATGTGAAAATAATTTCATGCTGGGGATGTGGCAGAATATTTGCTTAGCACATGCGAGACCCTGGGTTTGATCTCCACCACTATAAAAAGAAAAAAAGAATTTTTGTGATCAACAGAAAGAGCTTTCCTATTTCAAGAAAAGATTTGGAGATGTCATGTTGCTTATTTGCTCTTCATGGGAAGAAATTTTGAGGTAGGATGGATTATAGTATGTTATCTCCTAGTAACCATAGAGCTTCCATCATTGTTAGGGAGAAATTTGGAGGCATTTGCAGTATACGTACCTAATTTTAACTACCCCAGTATGAAATTTATTTGTATGCATTTATAATATCTGATATTAGATTATAGAGCTGGATAGAAATATAAAGGTTATATTTTAGTGAAGTACTAGGTTCATAGCAAAAATTGAGTGAAAATACAGAGTTCCCGTATCTCCTCCCCTGACACACGTCCTTCCTTGTTGGACTCTCCCTCTGCAACACACACCAGAGTGGTTCCTTTGTTATGGTTGATGAACCTGCACCTACACATCATCACCCAGAGTTCATCACTTCTTAGTAGGGTTCATTTTTGGTGGTGTAACTTGTGTGGGTTTCGATGTATGTGTAATAACACATCATTGTAGGGTCACACAGAATAATTATCTCCATGTTTTTGCCTTCCTCAGAATGTCATACAGTTATGGTAGATTTTTAATCTCTAAAAGTAATTCAGTGTCAGAAAGAGGGGCTGATTCAAAGCTTCATGTAACAGCATTTTTGCAAAAATATTTGTCACTATTTTGAGATTACATATTCAAAATAAATGCCAAAACATAAGGGCAGATTTGTCTGACGGCCTGAAAATTCACTCCTTAAACTTTGAATTATGGGAACTGAAAAAGAATTGCTAATATTTTGCTTACCCTCTCCCCCTCCATTTCCAAATGGATAAAGTGGGGTCAAGTAGTCTCATAAGCTCTAAGTCCCTCTCCAGAGCCTTTCTGGCAGCAGGCCTGACAATACCCAGAGAATGAGCACATAGTGTCTAGCTCAGTCTCCTGCGTCATCTCTGTGCACGTGCTGCTGGCTTGGCTGCTGGATTTTGGCCAAAGTGGCCATGGAGCAGGGCCAAGGTATTATGAAAAAGCCCTAGGTTAGATTTCACTTCTCCCTGAT